CCTTAACCCCCTGGACTATTTTTTGTGGGGTCAACTTAAGGCAAAGGTTTATAAAATTCCAATTGAGACCATTCAGCAACTACGGGAGGAAATTGAAACCGCGTGCATGGAAATAAGGCAAACACCTAGAATTTTCCAAAGAGTTCGCAAATCATTGAAGCGTCGAGCTAGATTATGCATCGAAATGCAAGGTGGTCACTTCGAGCAGTTCTTGTAATTTAACTTATTATTACTAATTTTAATCCCATTATTTTCTATTTCACATTTAGCTATTGTCTGTAGAAGTAATTAGTTCTTTAATTAGTAAGTGTAACTCTAAATTTAAATACTCTTAGTTTATGTCCTAAATTATTTATTAAATGATGGGATCCTTCATAACTGCAATTTATTTAAATAATGTTACTGAATTTTCAAAGTCAATTTACTCGAAAACCATTGGAAATATCGATTTGGACAAAGATAATATTTTTTTCGTAAAACTGTTAAGATTTTATAAATCTGTAGAGAAAATTGTAAAAAAATAGAAATAAAAAAAAATTACGGGCCGAAAACCCCCTTCACCAACCTAAATGGGACGCATATGACTTACATGTCGAAAAACGGAGTAGCCCATGTTATTTAACGTAAAAAGTTATGTAGGACCCATAAATTTTTTTCTATTTATTTGCGACCGTTTTGTCAATAACAGAAAAAAAACAGTTTTGTTTGAGCCCTTTTAGGGGCATATAACTTCCTAAGGGTGCGTTTTAGGGCACATGTTAATAGGAACGTTTTGGCTTATTTTAATGAGTTATAAACGCAGCAGAAGTTTGGAACCCTATTTTAGAAACACCCTGTACGCTTGTGCCATACAAAACAGAATATAATTATATGCAAATCAAAGAGAACTAGTGACGTTTTTCTCGTAAATAACGTTTATATTTATGCTTGAACTCTACAATAGTACTCGAAGATTTGATATACTGAGGGATACGATAAAAATATTAACTGCAATATAAGTCAATGAATGTTGAAATTGACTGGTAGAGTGCCTGGGTATAATACAAAGAGTAGCGTGTCTTGTAGAACGAATATGTACATCACACATTTTTATTAACTTTTCGTACAGGTAGGAAGGATGAATGAGAGTATCATAAAGTCGAAGTTTTATGTCAGTATTTAAGTAATTCCTATGAATGTAAAATAACTGTTTTAATTTCGTATAAGAACATTTTACCAATTTATTATCGTGAGAATTAATAGGTAGGTATGTTTTCTTTTTTTATTATCTATAAATTTTGTGAGAATAATAGTGTAAGTACTTATTGTTAGTATGTATAGTAACACAAAGACTATTCATAAATTGCTGCCAGATTTATTACTAGATTTTACTCGATAAAGAGAGAGTGGTCCATGAATATTTTAAAGTGAATGAAAATGCTAATAAAAAAATATTTAATTAAGTATTCTTTGACAATTCATATCAATTTTTTTAAAATTTAGTACTGTATTGCCAGATTTACCAGCACGTAATAGTATTAAATAATTCCATTTCGTTTTTTTTCAGTATGTTATCGACTTTTCTTGGACCTGTCATACATACATCGTTGGAAAGCTAAAAAATTCTTAATTTCATCCCATATATTCTTCAATAGCAAAAATAAAGTTGTTGACAGTTTCTCGGTGGTGAACCGATGAAATCAAAATCTGGACCCTCAGAGAAATTCTTTACAAAATATTGCAATACAATATTTTGAGTGATTTAAAAAAAATCCTAAAAATGAGGTACAATAAATTTTCGGTAATCACAAATTTAAATACACAATCTATGTGCATATTTGTTTAACTGTAATGGAGTTCCTTGAAATATGCTATTAGTAATATATTTACTATTTAATTTCTAGTTGAAACTAATTGAACTGAATGAATGATGTTTACTATTTATAGGTAACCGCTTGCAATTTCATCTAAACTCTATTATTATTTAATATTGATTTGCATTCTTCAGGTTAAATACATTGTATATTCTATTTACAACGAACGACGTATACTTAAAAAATCATCAAATACCTATTATTAAATGGAACTAGTTTTACAGAAGTGGAATTATAAACATTGGTAGTTATGCAATTTCTTACACTTTCATTTACATAGCACCGGCAATTATAGATGTCAATAACATTGTTCCATGCCAGTGAGTAATACGGAAAATAGTGCATAAGTACGAATGATACGTTTAAAAAATTAATTCAAGTTCTCAAATTCAAAACATAGAAAAGTAAGTCAATGGGAATATTAATATTTCTTGTACAGTCGTGTTTGTGAAAGACCGACGTAACCATAACAAATCGGTGGTACGCTCTTTGCAATTTTATGCATTTATGATAATTTTATATAATTTCTAAAATTTTTCGACTATCAATAATGCATATATGTGGTTGTTAACTTCCACACCTTTGTTTATTCGGTTTATTGGTATATCCTCGGGAGTAATTATTGTTAATGATTTCGTGAGAGTGGAGGAACCATGCCGGATTTAAATAAATGAGTCCCATCTGTTGAAATTTTGTAAAGTAACGCAATTTTTAAAAATTTTTCTTAGAAAAACATTTTTGAACTGACCTTACAAAAAAACACAGATTCTGTTTCGCTGTAAATGCAAATAAATAATCGATATTTCAGTAAGCTCAGATTTAACAATGTAAGTCAATAAATGAATAGTTTATAGATTAAATATTATACAAAAAATATAGTTTTAATTGTATTAAAAATAATATTACTTACTTGTATAAATATAATGACAGGTACACAATAAATGTCTGACTGTTGATTGTCTAAAGGTAAACTACCATCCTGAGTAAATATTAAAAAAAGAGTAAACCAAAAACCAAATTAAGTTGTATATTACACTAAACACCAAACGTGGTCAGCAGTTGAAGGCGTTTGACTGTTGATGTTGAGGAACGATACCCAGAACAAGTGGGAGAAAACTGAACGTTCTTGAAAGTGGCAAGGTAGATATATGTATAGCAAGTAGGGTCGCCGATTGGGATGTCCTGGGGATTCCACTACGTAGAGGTGCAATTAGCGTGTCAGTCTTAGATTTTGAAAACTTAGCTCTTATAATCAAATATTTGAGGCTAGTCAGTGGGTTTGGTTTAGTGATAATGGGTAGTATAATAATTATAAATAGCACTTGTGACCTAACAGTTAAAATTATTTTTCTTTAAAGACAGATCGTCAAAAATTGTTTAACTAGCACTGCAAATACTCGTTAAAATGAGAAAGTGAAATAAAATGTGTTACAAGCACAGCCCATAAAAATTAAGTTTTATAGGTTTTTATTTAGTTACATCTGTTAACAAAATGTATTGATGAATCTTTTCTCATACATATAAGATTCGATGATGTTGCAATCGCACGAGGGTGTTCTCTATCATAATTTCTTTGAAAACTTTGTTCGAAAATTTCAAAGGTTTAGAAAAGTTTGTATGGATTTTTAGTTCATCCACAAAAAACAGTGATGATATCGTATTTGAACAAAGCAAAACCTACCCTTTATCTGGTCCAAATAATAACTATAATTTTGTTAGGAGTTTCAAGAGTTTGATGTTCAGAAAAAGTGGACCACAAGAACAATTTTTTGGATTATTTTAGCTGTACACATATGTATGTATACATACAAAATTTGGATATTTGTCTTTAATTTGTAGTTTTTCTTTAAAGGAATTGAGATTGAAATTTAATAAGCCAGAATCTCCATTTAACACGTCCATTTTTTCTCAGGTAATGGACTGAGACGCCTCTATTTTAACATTCATAAACAGATTCTTTTGGTATTTACAATGACACCCACTTTTCTGGTACATTTGACTTAAATTTTGGATAGATCATCGATTAGAAGAACAATATATTTTTATTTTTGATGCAAATTTAATACATAAACAAATGAACCTTGAACACTCAGTGTGAGTTCATTTTGTAGCGAAATAACTTTTATGTAAATTGATATATACCTACCCACCTTTAAAAAATTGACTCAAAATAATTTATTTCTTGTTTGTTGTACTTATTCACACAAATTAAGTTAAAACTTTAGCAAGAACATACAGGCTGTTACAAATTCGTTTCTCACTACAGGAATCTCGGAAACGGTAAGAGGTACGAAGCAGCTTAAATGTGGGCAAAGTTGCGTAATCAGGGGACCAACATTATGCCTCTAAAAAATCAAGGTTAACATGATTAGTTTTCGAAATATTTGAAAAAAAACCGAAATTTTGGAAATCCGTTTTTGTTTAATTTCAGCCTTGTTTGAGATGATATTGAAAAAAAACACAATTTCATGGTCACTTTTTGCCCTCTATCGAATGGCATAATCAATTTTTATATGTAACATTTTGTCTCTCCAGGACCATCATCAACTTCATTTTTTTTTATATACGACCCTTGTAACAGCCTGTATATGCTCCAATTCAACTTCTGCAATATATTTTAAAAAATCGAGGAATTGAAACTATTCTTTTTTATTGAAGAGGTATACAGATGGACTGCAACCGAAAGAAATTGTTCGATTTTTCTATTCTATAAAAGTGTTCAATTCAGAGGATTTTTATAAAGTACTTTAGAAAAACTTAACTGCAGTATATTCATACTACGATAACCGACTAAAGTTTTATTGACAGGTTACATTGTTTCATTTTACTTTTTACTTAATAAAAATCTATCAAAGTAATTCACAAAAAAGCAATGTATTGTGATCTGTGCTAGAATTTTCCATAGAATAAGACCTTCCTTCATTTACAGGTTTAAAAAAATATATTGCATTTTCTTTAATTATTTAAAAAAAACAAATGATTTGCCACATTTAGCATTTGTTCGTTAACAGAAGCATAATGTAATAAATAATTAACTCGCATTAATAATTATTTTAATAGAATTAATAGAAGCGCATTACATGTCGTACTAAAATAATTAAATAATGTTGCAACCTACCAAAGAAATTATCTTCAATTTTCGCATCTATTTCTATAACATCATTTTAAAAATATCAACAGGAAATTCAACTTTGTTTATGTTTCAAGACAGTTGTTAATGGTAGAACAATTTCCGGGCTGATTGCCACGTCGCGTTGCTTTCGCCTTCTTGAATTCTCGACGGACATATATGTACATATACCTCCTTCAACTTAAGAAGGAACTGGAAATTGAGTCCTCTGCGACTTGATAAATGATCTGCAAATTTTAGGTAGTTCTAAGCCCTCCTCTCAGTTGAAATTATTTGGATTTTTTTGGATTTTTATTACTTTCCTGTGTACTGACCAAAATATATCACTTACTAGAATTCTGGTATTGCTTAAGTCCATTGCCTTATCCGTACTCTGCAACTGTTAAATTTTCTACGTTGCTATTCTTTAGGTGACTCTTGTGTTCTTTTGACCTAGTACTAAATGTCTCCTTGTTGACGAATAATAGCGTAGTTAAATCAGCAGTTGTAGAGTAGATTTTGGTCAAGATCCGACAAAGAAGCAGTAGAAATCCTGATGAATATAAGTTGTTTCAATTGAAATGCGGGTTTAGAACTACCTGGAATTTCGAAACGACTCATCTGCAGATATCAAAGACCAGAATGACATAGGTAAGTAACTTCAGATCACTCATTGAAACATTCAATATAAATGCCGACTACAATACCTTAAAGAAGATGAGAACAGCCTTCACTAAGACGAGCTGCAAGAATGATGTACTACATGAATCTGGTATCCCATTTAAAAGTTATCCTTTCTCTAGTAACATCAATTATAAGAAAAGTATTTCAAGTAAAAGTTACACCAAATCAATTTTTTCATATCTTAAAATTATAAAGTGTCCTGTTTCTTCTAGGTCCTTCCGACTTCATTTTTACAAATGAAACACCCTAAATCTATTTATTGAATTGAAAGCTTTAAGACATAATTACGAAGGATTCCTAATAAACAAGCCCTATCCCCAAAAGTTGTACTTGTAAGTCTCGACACTTTAGTTTCGAAAGTCTAGCAATGATCTGTGTAAATCTAAAAAATAGTATATTATGTTACTAGGAGTAGAAGGCGATCATTATGTGTTGAGCCCAAAAGTTTGCTCGCCGAGGCGTTAGCCGAGGCTTAGCAAATTGGGCAAAACACATAATGAGCCTTCCACTCCGAGTGACATATACTATTTTTTCTTCAAGCGTGAATATAAAAAATTACTAACTTAGAAAATTTATAGCGGATAACGCGATGTTCAATCTCAACACAAAATAAAATCAGTAGGTAGGTAATACTATTTATTTTATACATTTTATACATTTTATTGATTAATTAAACATGACAGTTTTAACCACTTTATTCATGAATAAAAAAACAAATGTAACAATTATTTTTCTTTAATTTGAATTAAACGAATAAACATCTAAATTACCTACATGTCTATCATCAAACTTTATTTATTAACATGAATATTAAATGTGCAATTTTGTATGGTACAGTTGTTGATATTTAAAGCGCTGCTGGCTGTCTTTTTTTCAAAGTTTACAGTTCTGTCGTTGAATACGTTACTTGTAATAAGGTTCTCAGTTTCAGTGTTAACAATTGTACCATTATTAACAGAAAAGTCTTCGATTAAATTATTTTCAGGATCAATATTTACAGTTTCGCTTGATGTACTTGGTTCATTATACTCTAATGGGTTTAATATTTTCATCGCTATCTGTTTCTTATTGTTTACAGAATCTTCAATGTATCCTTCAGCGACGCTGGTAGATTTCCATCCACCATGTCGCTTTAGGGTTGTAATGTCTCCACCATTATCAACTAAGATAGTTGCCGAGGTTCTTCTAAGGCAATGCCCCGTATATTCATGTGGATTTGGCAACCTTAAAAATGATGCAACATCTTTTGGCACTTTTGAAATTTTATGTATGCCCATTACAACACGATGACAATGGCCATTTTGATATTTAATAAAAAATCTATCAAAAGTTATGTCTTTTGGCCGAAGAGTAGCATATTTTCTGTATAAATTTAAATAAAACTCTCCAATTATGGTAAATGAACGATGTTTTTTAGTTTTTGTATTGGGAATATTTACTAATATTATATTTCCCAAATCTTTTACATCATTAACTTTTACTTGAATGAGTTCATCGCATCTACAAGCTCCTGTGACTCCAAATATTAGTGCAACCTAAAAAATATAGAATTATTAATTTTGTAACAATAAAAAAAGTTGGAAAATGCAAGGAAATTCTAAAACATGACGTAATTTTAAGACATCTATATTTATGAGTTTTTACAACATTCTTCCAATGAGCTATCTTTATTTCCGAAAATTGTTTATTATTCTCGTAATGGATACTATAAAATAACTTGAAGTTTACAAATTATAACAAAATTTTGTATTACAAATATAAAAAGGTTAAATATATATCTACCTATAATTTAAAAAGTACATACCTTGGTTGCTAAATATTTATCATCAGGTGCTTTATTCAGGAATTCGTCAAATTCTTTTTTAGACAAAACTTTCGACTTTTTTGGTTTATAATTTTCACCTTGTCGTTTCAAAAATGTAATTAATTTTGAATATTTCTCAATATTTACATTGTGTTCTATGTTTAATTTAGATTTTACCATTGAATATTGCGCCCATAAAGTTGAACTTTTCAGTGTTCTGGATAATCTTGTAAAATATGCTATCATCACATTTTCTGAATAAATATGTGCATTATTTTCTTTTGCCCAATTTATGAATTTATCATAAGCATTTTCATAAATTTTTCTCGACTTTGTTGGTATAAGTGTTGCCACTGATGTATTTGCAATTTCCAGTAATTCTGGTGGTGTGCACTGCATTTCTTCAGACATTTTAAAAACGACCCGACGCGACATCAAATTTCAACTGACACTTAATGAAACGTCAAAGCTTCTTGAATCTTTAATTCGTTGCTAGGATACTTACCTACACAT